CACAGTTGTGTATATAACATTTTTAAAACTTGATAATCTTAGGTTATGAGGAATGCTGATATACCTATGATAATACTGTGAATTAGTTACAAAACATATGGAGTTCAAATATATATATAAACTGTTATTTTGCAGTCTGTAATTATAAACAACTACAAATGATACAATGGATGTAAAAAAGGTAAAATTGTCTAAATATTTGTTCCTGATCCTTCTAATATATCAAAAGTGAAAACATGTTAAAAATGGGTTACCAAATACTAATATCTTTAAAAATTAATACAATTTTCTTGAGGTAGAACAGAAATGATCATACTTTCAGATTACGACCAGATTACATGTGTCCCATGTCAGCCAAACTGTGCCAGCTGTCAGGAACGGCCAGATCATTGCACCAGCTGTGACCATCATCTTGTTCTCCATGATAACAAGTGTTATGCTGCCTGTCCCATATACACATATGAGACAGAAGATTATGGGTATGTTTTCTAATGCATATCTGTAACTGTTGCCATTTTAACCCATAAGAGCCAAAAGGAACATGATGCATGCCTAATTAAATTCTGTATGTTGTTGGGCGAATGGGTCTCTTTTGTCCTGCTTTGTCATGATACTGTTAAAATTTTTATAAATTCAGATGAATAGCTTCTTGTGTATGTAAAATGCTTCTAAGGGTTTATAGATTGTCAGAGATTAATTTGTAATTGATTCATCCACATTTGATTGTGGGATCTCTTAGTAATAATTCCCTGAAATGTGGAGACAGTTTGGAATATTTAAAATAATTCTTTTCAAGTGGTCATTTTTTTCTTTGTTGTCCCTCAAAATGTCAAAATCAGACAGATCTATCTAAAGATGCTTCAGAATGCCCTATCTTGCATCATCACCTCCTTTTATATAATTCACACTTCCTTTTACTTGCTGTTTCATCAAAATGTTGGTGTCTGTCTGGGGTACCAATGGTTTGACTCCATGTATGAACTTGAAGAATAAAGTTCAGTCTCCTTTTCCACCTAAAAAATCAATAAATTTACAAGATTGTTGTATTTTTTTCTTGGGGAAAAATCCAAGTATTCTTTGATATTTCCCATCAAAACAACTCAGTCAGGAACTCTTAATTCTGAATATTCTCTGATATATCCAGACCCAACCTCTGCAATTGTGTTCCATTTGTTTTGCTGATGTAATGTTTCTTTGGTCAAGAACAGATAATAACTTATTGTAAGAGAGAATGATCAGTAAATAAGGACCTTTAAGAATCTGTAATGTATTTTATTGTAATTATAATTGTTTATACATTTATTGTAATTTTAATGAACCAATGTGTACAATTTTCAATGCATCTGGCGCGTTAAGCACCCGCCTCTCAAACACCATAAGAGATGGATCTGGACATATTGCATACGAAATACGTATTACCTCTTGAGCTTTCCATATCTGTTTTCAGATTTTAAATATCACACGTGATTTAGGTTCTACAAACATTTATTTATACAAATACAGCACTTCACGTTACTGCTGCGTTTGTGTGTTGCGTCATACTATATAGAGATAACAAGATGGATGACTTTGAAGCTAAAAGAGTCTGTAATGCAGAATATATGAGACAGTACAGAAAACGTAAAAAAATAGAAGTATTAAATAATGAACCCAAAGTTCCAAAAAAAATACCAAAAACTAATGCTGAACTTACAAGGAATATAGGAATCGCAAGAAGTAATTATTGCAAGTTAATGATTCCACATCATTAGCAAGTACAAGCGTTCCTACAAGAATCGCACAACCAAGGTATGACAATGCAACAGATTATTTTCATAAGCATTTTAATGAAAATAGATTTGGATACGCTTGAAATGTATGTGACTGGTTATGGTTTGAAAAATATTTGAAACAAGTTACTGATAGCCATTAGATATATTGGGTATGGAGTTTGTAAATGAAAATGTATCCCAATTTAAGGTATGCACAACATGCTGGCTATCTTTAAATAAGCACCAAATACCTATATTGTCTAGGAGTAATGGATTTGTGTATCTGCCATACCCCACTGATTTGCCTCCTCTAGATTGCATAAGCGAAAGATAATATTCCCTAGACTTCCATTTATGCAAATTAGGAGGTTAAGACATCAAATGGGTGGATTTGGGATAGTGGGACAAGTAATCAATGTTCCAGTAGATGTTAATAATATGGTAACACTACTACCTAGAGAATTGGACGATGATTACAGTTTCAACGTCTATATAAAGAGAAACTTGATTCACAAATCTACGTATCTGGTAGGAATTGTGAAGAAAGATACAATAAAACGTTGGCTTACTTATTTGATTAATACTCCATTGTACAAACATTGCAACATTACAGTTAACGATGCATTTTTCCAAAAACAACAAACTGCCGAGGAAGAAATCATAAAATGGATAGAAGACATAGAATTGTCAAGTGATGTAGAATTGCTGCTAGCTCAACAGCAAACTCTCCTGTGGAATGAAGATAAGTACTTGGAAATTGCTCCTGCTTAAAAGAACACACCCTTGTCCATCATATACGATGAACATGCAGAAGAGTTGTCTTTTCCAGGCATCTACTTGGGAAGATCAAGGCAATTTAAAGAAGACCACAAGGTAACACCATTCATGATGGCAACAAGCGAAATTCGCCGTAGCGATAGAAGAGGTGTAACACCTCAACACATGTTATACATGGTAATGAAAATAATGCGGTTGCGCGTTAGCGAAGGCTTGTACAGCACGTTCAAATGTATAGGGGAAACAGATAATATTACAAGAAAGATGATTGAAGATAATCTATAGTTTCTAAAGTCCATACCTAGTGCGTAGGAAAAAATCTATAGTTTCTAAAGTCCATACCTAATTCTGTACACTACTGAGCTCAGAGGAAGCGAGATGTGTTTGCCATCTATGTTGCATGTCAGCAACACTGACTCTTTGATATTTCCCATCAAAACAACTCAGTCAGGAACTCTTAATTCTGAATATTCTCTGATATATCCAGACCCAACCTCTGCAATTGTGTTCCATTTGTTTTGCTGATGTAATGTTTCTTTGGTCAAGAACAGATAATAACTTATTGTAAGAGAGAATGATCAGTAAATAAGGACCTTTAAGAATCTGTAATGTATTTTATTGTAATTATAATTGTTTATACATTTATTGTAATTTTAATGAACCAATGTGTACAATTTTCAATGCATCTGGCGCGTTAAGCACCCGCCTCTCAAACACCATAAGAGATGGATCTGGACATATTGCATACGAAATACGTATTACCTCTTGAGCTTTCCATATCTGTTTTCAGATTTTAAATATCACACGTGATTTAGGTTCTACAAACATTTATTTATACAAATACAGCACTTCACGTTACTGCTGCGTTTGTGTGTTGCGTCATACTATATAGAGATAACAAGATGGATGACTTTGAAGCTAAAAGAGTCTGTAATGCAGAATATATGAGACAGTACAGAAAACGTAAAAAAATAGAAGTATTAAATAATGAACCCAAAGTTCCAAAAAAAATACCAAAAACTAATGCTGAACTTACAAGGAATATAGGAATCGCAAGAAGCAATTATTGCAAGTTAATGCTTCCACATCATTAGCAAGTACAAGCATTCCTACAAGAATCGCAGAACCAAGGTATGACAATGCAACAGATTATTTTCATAAGCATTTTAATGAAAATAGATTTGGATACGCTTGAAATGTATGTGACTGGTTATGGTTTGAAAAATATTTGAAACAAGTTACTGATAGCCATTAGATATATTGGGTATGGAGTTTGTAAATGAAAATGTATCCCAATTTAAGGTATGCACAACATGCTGGCTATCTTTAAATAAGCACCAAATACCTATATTGTCTAGGAGTAATGGATTTGTGTATCTGCCATACCCCACTGATTTGCCTCCTCTAGATTGCATAAGCGAAAGATAATATTCCCTAGACTTCCATTTATGCAAATTAGGAGGTTAAGACATCAAATGGGTGGATTTGGGATAGCGGGATAAGTAATCAATGTTCCAGTAGATGTTAATAATATGGTAACACTACTACCTAGAGAATTGGACGATGATTACAGTTTCAACGTCTATATAAAGAGAAACTTGATTCACAAATCTACGTATCTGGTAGGAATTGTGAAGAAAGATACAATAAAACGTTGGCTTACTTATTTGATTAATACTCCATTGTACAAACATTGCAACATTACAGTTAACGATGCATTTTTCCAAAAACAACAAACTGCCGAGGAAGAAATCATAAAATGGATAGAAGACATAGAATTGTCAAGTGATGTAGAATTGCTGCTAGCTCAACAGCAAACTCTCCTGTGGAATGAAGATAAGTACTTGGAAATTGCTCCTGCTTAAAAGAACACACCCTTGTCCATCATATACGATGAACATGCAGAAGAGTTGTCTTTTCCAGGCATCTACTTGGGAAGATCAAGGCAATTTAAAGAAGACCACAAGGTAACACCATTCATGATGGCAACAAGCGAAATTCGCCGTAGCGATAGAAGAGGTGTAACACCTCAACACATGTTATACATGGTAATGAAAATAATGCGGTTGCGCGTTAGCGAAGGCTTGTACAGCACGTTCAAATGTATAGGGGAAACAGATAA